CTTCCCTCCTCCCCCTCCCCCCCCCCTCCCCCTGGTGTGGGCTATAACCATCTGGCAGCCCGGCTGGCGTGAACGTCGCGGATTGTAAACACTAGTGGTGGACGAACTGATCAGAGACCCGCCACTTGCTCAGGGCCTGCTTTCCCAGTCATAACCTAACAGCAAACCACCACGTCGGGGAGACTACAACAAGACTGCGACCCGGGCAGCGAGGGCTTTTTATTTCAGAGGGGCCGATATTTTCCGAATCAGTGTCTGCCCTCTTATCGGAGCCACCGACAGTGTGTGCGTGTGTTAGTACGGTGTACGTTACGGTGAAATCGGTTTTCTATAAACTCTCTCTCTCTCTCTCACTCCACGAGATCACGGTGTTCACAAGAGGACCGGAGGCGAATTATCAATATCGTGCTCATTACGCCAGTTGTGTTCAATGATTGATTCGTCGGGGGTGTTATTCACACGGAAGAATACCGACCGACCAACAATTCGGAAGAAAGAAGGTTCAAGTAAAAGAAATATAAACGGTGGTGACCTGAATTTCGGAAGAAGTGGAGTTAATTATTACCATATTATTGTTTGTGAACAGCAGCCTTGTGAGCGAGCAGCCTTCCAGGTTCCGGTGTGATGTTCTGTTTGATTTTTGAACATAAATAAATAATTTGGATTAAAAATATATATATATATATATCTTCGTTCCATTGAGTGTGGGAATAGACATTGGCGAGACAAGGAGATTTCGTATTTGAATTTGCACAGGTAGGATCGTTTACCTGTCAGCAGATGATACAGTCAGAACAACGGTGAATTGCTGTTACTGCCACGAAATTCTTCGGGTGTTGCGCAAATTTGATAATCATTTTATTGTTCCTAACGACACGGGAGGGTTTTCTGTTGATAAGATTCACTGCACATTTTTTTTTTTTTTTTTTTTTTTTTGGAATTCCCGTTCAGGTTTACAATTATTTTTTGAATTGAAGGGGCACTTTTAAAAACACACAGCGAGACGGAGTTACGGTCGTCAAAATTTGAATTCCGTGGAGTTATTTTAACAATAAAAGACAAAAGTAGAAACGGTTTTTGACGGATATCAGAATGCGTTTTCAAAACACGTTTTCTTTTTAAGCCCACTTTTTTTTTCTCACGGACCGCAAATGCCGCCTTTTGGCGCCGAATGTGGATGCGGAGCAACACCGAGGAGCCCCGGCAATGGATACCAACGTTAGATAAGACTCCTTTCTGCGCCACCTGCTCCGTTTTGTTTTTGTTTGATTGGCTACAGCTTACCGGCATTACCTGTGACACCATGTCGACATAAACTCCAGCGTTTGGCTCCGTGGAGCAGGTGTTTGAACGACCATGTAACTGAGTAAGGCAGCGTGTGTTTTTCTCTGTGTGTGTGTGTGTGTTTCATTTATTCACCACCGACTTCAAGTCATTGTTATGCAAGATACGACTCGGGATTACAGTCAGGAAACTATTCAACATGAGGGCGAAGTTTTGCTTCGGAGAAACCCTATCGCGGCCCAGCTGTGGCCTCTGACCGCAGAGACCAGATGGTGACCACAATGGCCAGTGTTAAATTGGTCAACAGCCATCCGCCTCACCATCACGTCCACTACCATCCTCCGCATCATCATTTTTCGCTGCTCCGTCCCGCCAGTCCGCCAGAACAAACGATGACCCTTGACTACAGCATCCCCCGGAGGTCGAGGAGCCCCGACTACGACGGGGGGAGCGACTCGGCGAGGGATGTGTCCTCTCCGTTGTCCCCTGCTGGATCCGAGGGTCGAGATCCGTCGAGTCTATCGGAGACCCCAACGAAGAAGAACAAAAGGAAACTGAGCGAGCCCAAGAAGAGATCGGACATCAGCGTCAAAAAACTTTGTCCGGATAAATTAGTCGAATGTAAGGAAACTGTCGCCGTGGACGCGGTGAAGAAAAACGGGAAGTTGCCGGTTAAAAACAATAAAGGGAAGAAGTTGGCGAACGGTCATTCGAGGAGAGCGACATCATCAAAACCACAGACTAGCGGAAGGGTCAGCAGACGAGATAAATCACCAAGTTCGCCATCAGCTGGACACAACGACGACGACGAGAGCAAGAAAGATCAGGCGACGCCTCTGTCTAGAGGATTACCCCAGTCCTTCATACACCCGGTGTTCGCGGGGCTCCCGCCTTCGGCACTCGCTGCGCTACCTCCGTCGGCAATCGCTGGCTACGTGCCTGGTATATATTTCGGGGGCGCCCCATTCCACCACCCTGGCCTCCACACGTCTTTCCCAGCCCTACCTCTTCACCTGCAGCACAGCTACATCACCGCAGCGGCGGCCGCGGCTGCAGCAGCTCAAAACTCCTCATCCTCTCCCTCCACCTCCTCCTCCTTGGCAGCAGCATCGACATCTTCAGCTTCCGCACCTTCCATCTCATCAACGTCTGGAACCTCTGGCATCAAATCGGAGACATTTAGCTCAACGTGTCAGCGATCTCAAACCATCATCAACGCGCCCGTCCTGCAGACGTCAAAGCCATCGACCTCTCTGGTTTCCGCCCTCACAAACTTATCTAGCTCATCCTCGTTGTTACAACCGTCGTCGTCCCTCCACCTCGCCGGCAGCTCTAAAGCCACCACCTCCAACCACGAAGACGACGACGACGAATCGTCATCGAGGGCTCAGTCCCCAGAAGACCTCAGTCTCGGCGGGAGGATGTCTCGCAAACACAGGAAGAACTACAAGAACATGACGCGGGAACGCCGAGTGGAGGCCAACGCGAGGGAAAGGACCCGTGTCCACACCATCAGCGCGGCGTTCGACGCCCTGAGACACGCCGTCCCGTCGTACTCTCACAACCAGAAACTTTCCAAGCTGGCCATCCTGAGGATCGCCTGCAGCTACATCATGTCGTTGGCCCGCCTGGCGGATCTGGACTACACGTCTGTCTCCGAACACATCGGGACGCCTTTGACGTTTGCCGAGTGCGTGGATATGTGTACCAGCACGATCCAGACCGAGGGAAGAGCGAGGCGAAGACATTAATGACTGGCAATATATTTGTTTGTGACATCTTGGACGCCGCCGTGTGAGTTACTTTGATGATACGACTAATATTTCAATCAAAAGATGTGTTTTTGTTGGCTTCCTCCCCCCCCCCCCCCTTTTCCCAAATCCCATTTAACCACTTCCTTATTGAATTTGAAGTTATCCAAATTTTGGGCCATGATACAGTTTACCTTTATTACGGATCTGGAGATACTTAAGGCTATTTCTAATTATGAGTTGGTTACAGTATGCGCCAAATGTAACAGCACTGTAACTCCCGCATCTTGAACGCGAACGTGCGTCTGTCAACGGTGCGTAGCCCCAGCTGCCACGTGTTGCCCCGAGGTGTCAAGAAAGTTGTGCTGGGCAGTTGTTGTTGGTAATGGCTCTCTCTACACAGATGGAGCGGGGAATCATATTTGAGCACTATTTTTGCTCGTATTAAGGAATTTAGGTATTTGGAAAAAAAAAGGTGGATAAAGATAATAATTCCCCGATCACCGTACGCTGCCTTTTGTTACGAATTTCTCCGTTATGGCGGTGTATTGTGTCAACCAAAGAGCAAGTCTAGTCGCACAGTAAATTTGTGTTCGATAAGGATACTAATGCCTGTTTCTGTAGGAAGCGCTTCATTCGCCACTACAAATTAATCTGCGATTAAAAATTTGTATACTACTTATGTTTGCCGATTGTTTCAGAGCGCATTCAGCGATTGTATAAGAACAAAGGTACTTTTCATATTGGATACAGAGATTGTTTAAGAATATATGTATTTTTCATATTACATACAGCGATGGTTTAGGAACATACGCGGTAGTTACTTTTCATATGGCATACAGCGATTGTTTAAGAACATAGGTACTTTTCATATGGCATACAGCGATTGTTTCAGTACGTAGGTACTTTTCATATGGCATACAGCGATTGTTTAAGAACATAGGTACTCTTCATATGGCATACAGCGATGGTTTAGGAACATACGCGGTAGTTACTTTTCATATGGCATACAGCGATTGTTTAAGAACATAGGTACTTTTCATATGGCATACAGCAATTGTTTAAGAACATAGGTACTTTTCATATGGCATACAGCGATTGTTTCAGTACGTAGGTAATTTTCATACCACCCGACGGACCCACATATGTGAAGCAGGACGATGTACCTGGTAGTGTGGAAATTTCTGGCTCTGGTTTATGAAAACGTTGCTCAAGTATGAGCCCTTTGACCTCCGTGGAGGGAGCCATTTCCAACAACAACTGTCCAATAGAAAATCGTTTTCACCTCTTTGGTCACGTGGCATCCGGAGCTGTGAACGTTGATCAACGCAAGTTCTCGTTCAAGATTCGAGAGTTTCAGTACCGCTTTAGTTTTGGCGGGAGTTTCAATATTTGCTCGTTTTGGCGCATGGCGTATCTCGGTGGATGCACGTTTTCAAAGAAATAATTAAAAGTTAAGGGGTTTTTTGGTTTTTGTTTAGTGGGTTTGGGAAGGGGTGGGGTGTTGGGGTCACCATCCTGGAAGCTGAAGTTAGGCTCCCATAATCAAATCTTGTTAGAACATAATATTTCAAGTTTACCTATCATGTTTTCTAGTAATGATTTGTCCAATTATGTGACCTTTACAAATGTTGTATTGATTTTCTATTGCATTGATGGACTAATAATGCACACACTCTTAAACTTTTTGTTTTTATAAACCTTACAGTATGTTTACTTAAAACCTGTAGCTTTTTTTTTTTTTTTAAACCTGACCTTTGACATGGTTAATTTAACAACCTATTTATAGATATTCTATGTTTCATAATGTTTGTTCTGATCATAACGTCTTGAAAGCAAAGTACTGTTGACCTAAGCTGATCTGTCTCGTTGAGCAAACTGTGTTCAAAGGTAATGTTCAAGAATTATTTTTAGGGCTGAAGTAAGAGTTAATTGCTTGTGCTGTGGATGAAATAAGAGTTCAATGCTTGTATTGTGGATGAAGTAAGAGTTAATTGCTTGTGTTGTGAATGAAATAAGAGTTCAATGCTTGTGTTGTGGATGAAATAAGAGTTAAATGCTTGTGTTGTGGATGGAATAAGAGTTCAATGCTTGTGTTGTGGATGAAATAAGAGTTCAATGCTTGTGTTGTGGATGGAATAAGAGTTCAATGCTTGTGTTGTGGATGAAGTAAGAGTTAATTGCTTGTGTTGTGGATGCAATAAGAGTTCAATGCTTGTGTTGTGGATGGAATAAGAGTTCAATGCTTGTGTTGTGGATGGAATAAGAGTTCAATGCTTGTGTTGTGGATGAAATAAGAGTTCAATGCTTGTGTTGTGGATGAAGTAAGAGTTAATTGCTTGTGTTGTGAATGAAATAAGAGTTCAATGCTTGTGTTGTGGATGGAATAAGAGTTCAATGCTTGTGTTGTGGATGAAGTAAGAGTTAATTGCTTGTGTTGTGGATGCAATAAGAGTTCAATGCTTGTGTTGTGGATGAAATAAGAGTTTTGTGTCTGTATTTTATGGCTTAAATAAGAATTAAATGGAAGTGTTTGTGCCTGATTTGAGAGTTCAACGCTTTTTAAGGAGGGTACTATGGTCTGATCTTGAATTTCATAACAAACAAACAAAAACATATGACTGACTTACAGACTCGAATTGCTATCATTAATAACTTTTTTTTTTAAATTATACTTTGTGACTACCGCTTTTCCGTCAATTGCTCTGAACAGAAACATTTGGATGGTGAAGTCTCTGCACCCTGTGTCCCAACAGAGTACCGGGAAGTTGTTTTATAGTTTACCACGCTTCAGAAAATGCCATCTTGCAGAGTCTGAGATACGTCGCTTCAGCCATAAAGTATGTGCCACTCCAACACTCCGAGCATGCCGTGAACTATAGGCCACAGCTACTGGGAGTTGTAGTAAAAATAAGACAAAGATTAGCGAGATGAAAGTGAGGCCTGGGATTATATTTAAACGCTTCAGATTTAAAAAAAAAACAACAAAAAAAAAAAACAACCAAACTGCGTGTAAACGCCAGACATTATTTCAGAACTGTGAATAAGATAAAAGTTCTCGAGGCCGCCCCGTCTCTTATCTGAGCCCAACAGATGGCTCTCGTGGATATGGTCATACATCAAGAATAGATAAAATGCGTGGTAAGGAGACATATTTTTTTTGTTGTTGCTAAGCCTTCCCTCTAAGGTCGGATTTCTTCAATGGTAACGCTTGAAACACGAGCGTTGAAGGTACACACGTCCTCAACCAGTTGTTTTGTACGCCAATCTTTAGTATGCCGGTACACCAAGTTCAGTTAGACGGTATTTCAAGTGAGTTGGCCGGTACAACCAATTCAGTTGGCCGGCATTCCAAGTTCAGTTGGCCGGTACACGTTCAGTTGCCTGTCATGCCAAGTTCAGTTGGCCGGTACACGTAAAGTTGGCCAGCATATCAAGTTCAGTTGGCCGGTGCAAGTTCAGTTTGCCGGCATACCAAGTTCAGTTGGCCGGGATACCAAGATCAGTTGGGCGGGAGAACATGTTCAGGTGGCCGGTGCAAGTTCAGTATGCCGGTATCAAGTTCAGTTGGCCGGTGCAAGTTCAGTTGGCCGGCATACCAAGTTCAGTTGGCCGGGATACCAAGTTCAGTTGGACGGGTAAACAAGTTCAGTTGGCCGGTGCAAGTTCAGTTTGCCGGGATACCAAGTTCAGTTTGCCGGGATACCAAGTTCAGTTGGCCGGTGCAAGTTCAGTTTGCCGGGATACCAAGTTCAGTTTGCCGGGATACCAAGTTCAGTTGGCCGGTGCAAGTTCAGTTGGCCGGCATATCAAGTTCAGTTGGGTGGGGGTGGTACAAGTTAGTTGACCGACATACCACGTTCAGTTGGCCGGTACAAGTTCATTTGGCCGCTGTACCAAGTTTAGTTTGTCAGTTGGTCAGGGCATCAAGTTATGTTGGCCGGCATACCAAGTTCATTTGGCCGGTACACGTTCAGTTGCCTGTCATTCCAAGTTCATTTGGCCGCTGTAACAAGTTTAGTTTGTCAGTTGGTCAGAGCATCAAATTCAATTGGCCGACAAACAAAGTTCATAAGTACTAAAATTTCATTTACCTGGAGCACGAAGTTTTTGCGTTTAAAAAACTCCTAGTCAAATGGAATTTTCTTTTATAGTGTACATTCTTTGTGGGCTTGGGACCACAGACAGAGAAGCATGGCTCCAACGACAGAGAAGCATGTCTCCACCGACACAGAAGCATGGCTCCACCTACACAGAAGCATGGCTCCACCGACACAGAAGCATATCTCCACCGACACAGAAGCATGGCTCCACCTACACAGAAGCATGGCCCCACCGACATAGAAACATGGCTACAACGACATGGAAGCATGACTCCACCGACACAGAAGCATGGCTCCACCGACACAGAAGCATGGCTCGACCGACACAGAAGCATGGCTCCACCTACACAGAAGCATGGCTCCACCTACACAGAAGCATGGCCCCACCTACACAGAACCATGGCCCCACCGACACAGAAGCATGGCTCCACCGACATAGAAGCATGGCTCCAACGACAGAGAAATTTGGCTTATTAATATTTGGCCTTCTGTGTACTTTTATAACTATTTAACCAGAAATTTGGACTGACTACCAAATCCCTGATCTTTTTAAAAAAAATTCAGCCCAATCACATGACCTCACACAAAGGCTGGGGTTCATGCGTGAGGAAAAAATACACCGACAAATCAATCACTTTAAAAAAAAAACCAAAGCATTAAATGTCTTCTGTCTACACCTCCAATTGCCTGTAACATTGATGCATATATACTATAGTAAGGTACTCATAGTAATATTGATGTGTATATTTAATATACACTACACTACCGGGTACTCTAGTATCATTGATATATGTATTCTAAAGTACTCTAGTAACATTGACGTTTATATTTGATAAATACACAACATTCGTTACCGCTTGCTATGCTCGCTGGTCTAATATTAATTTACGTACCCAATGAAAGTTGCTTTAATCGTGACCGTTACACCTCATCGTTACACTTCAAACTTCCATCACATTTGACTACTACTGTAGCTCTTACTGCATACAGGACTCAATGGAAATCTTGTTAGGGAAATGTCAGTTCGATTGGTTGTGGGCAAAATTTTGGAAATCACTAACTGAAATAGACTGAGCTGAAATAGACTGGAATGAAATAGACTGAACTGAAATAGACTGAAATGAAATAGACTGAACTGAAATAGACTAAACTGAAATAGACTGAACTGAAATAGAATAAACTGAAATAGACTGAACTGAAAAGACTGAACTAAAATATACTGAAATGAAATAGACTGAACTGAAATAGACTAAACTGATAATTGCTAGACAATATTGGAACACCACCCCCCCCCCTCCCCGAATTACTTTTGGGTATCATCATCCAGTGACTATGAGTGGCATCAGTATGTGAAGTGAAAGTCTTGCTTGCTCCTGTAACAGATCTTTGTGTGTGGCGCTGTGTGTGTGTGTGTGTGTGAACGTGTGTATCTGTATGTGTGTGTGGAACGCATGTATCGGTATGTGTGTGTGTGCTTATCTGTGGGGAGTCTCAGGGCTTTCTTACCTAAGTGTCAGTTGTTTTGATGTGCGAGCAGACGTAGATCCATGCCCCCCCCCCCACCCTAACCCCTGGTCCGACGTCTGTTACAATGCCAGCACATCGCCAACTTCTGTTGAAGCAACTGTTATTAAACCCTACCATACCTGTGGGAGAGAGATCCCCCTGACTTAGAGGGAAGAATGTGAGAGGGGAACGAACAAGAAGAGATACAGAGGAACAATGTTTTAATATGGATGAGGGAGAAACGGATTAGACATGAGAGAGATGTGAGTGATTAGATAATGAGAGAAAAGGGAGTGGCTAGAGAAGGAGAGAGTAAGGAGTGGTCAGAGAAAGAGAGAGTAGCGAGTGGTTAGAGAGTGAGAGATTATGGAGTGGTCAGAGAAATAGAGATTATGGAGTGTTTAGAAAATGAGAGAGTGGGCAGTGATAAGAGAAAGAGAGAGAGAGAGAGCAGGAAGTGGTTGGAGAAAGGAAGTGCAGGAAGTGATTACAGATTGAAAGAGTGCCGAGTAATTACAACAATAATCGGGGGAGAATATAGTAGCGCTACAACTTGGTGCAACGGGAAAATATAGAACTGTGTAAGTGCCGCGGCAATGCAATACCCTGCTGTGGTTTCATGAGCTCCCAATGATGTGTTCGTTAGTACATTAGCCACAGGATTGAAGAAATCTATGCTTTAAAATTAAAACAAGGACATATTCCTAGCAAACATCTTTTTTTTCCCTTTCCAATATCTTAATAAATGTTTGTAAATCTAGGTTTGAAACCTAAATGTTTGTTCATCAGTGTACGGTAGGTTGTTTAAATATTGTTGACATTCTTTTGTTTGTTTTGTTTTACTATTGCTGGTACTCCTTTAGATAGAAGTCCTACTTTACTAATAAAAACAACAGTTTTTGGTAGCAATTTATACAATGGTCGTTGAGATCGTTGGTTAAAGTTGAAGTCTATTTCTAACCATAAGATTGAGAACTATTGAATTTTAATTTAATTAAAATTTGCTAGATATTTTCTATGAAAATTTTAGGAATATTTTTTTCCCTCAATTTTAAATGTCACTCAACTCACATGTGCTGTGCTCCAGGTACCGCCCCAGAAGCTTCTGTTTCAGAATGATTGCCACTGTGTGTGTAAATGATGTTTCAGAATGATTGCCACTGTGTGTGTAAATGATGTTTCAGAAAGATTGCCACTGTGTGTTTAAATGATGTTTCAGAATGATTGCCACAATGTGTTTAAATGCTTTTTAGAATGATCGCCACAATGTGTGTAAATGATGTGGTAGTTGTAGAATGATTTTCCATTACCTGTTTAAATGATGATTGAGATTGATTGTCATTCTCTGTTAAATATGTATTTAAATGATGTTTCAGAAAGAATGTTATCATGTGTTTAAATGATGTTTAAGAATGAATGCAATGATGTGTTTAAATTTTAGAATGATTGTCATTATGTATTCCAGTGATGTTTATTAAAAAAAAATAATTTCCTACTTATTTTTAAGGACATTGTTTAGAGACATTGCAACAAATGTGTTTAACATTGCATGGTCACTTCTAATGGTGAAAAATAAAATGACGAATGTTCTAAGACTTGACCCTTAGACAAAGGACACCAGATTACCAGTCCTCACCCATCAACGACCCATTTAAAACTTATAAATAGTTCAAATAGCATTTTTCTTAAATTTTAAAAACTTGTGAGTCCTCACTGACCTTGACCTACTTATATCTACTAAGTTGGATGCCCTACCACGCCAATCCCCACCGCCCCCCCCCCCCAACACACATACACTCTCTTAGTCTGTCTTAAAATTTCCCAGAGACAGACCTTTTCTTTCGCTTTGCGTTTCATTTTTCTTAAATTTTAAAAACTTGTGAGTCCCCACTGACCTTGACCTACTTATATCTACCAAGTTGGATGCCCTACCACGCCAATCCCCACCGCCCCCCCCCCCCAACACACATACACTCTCTTAGTCTGTCTTAAAATTTCCCAGAGACAGACCTTTTCTTTCGCTTTGCGTTGCTAGACCTGTGACCATGACATCATGTTTCATTGTTCGATGTATTCACTGTTTTGATTTTTATAACCTAATTATTCCCCGAAGATTTTGTTACTACTGATTTTTAAAAAAAACTGTGATTTGAAAAAAAAAAATACAAATAAATAAATAAATTGCATATATCAAATATATGTTGTGATACCAAAAGGCAGTCATCTTAAGTTTATTTCTTCAACGGCTTGTTGCTTTGGGTGTGTCTGGGACCAGTTGTACAGCAACCTAATTGTCTTTATGATGTTGTGTTTGTGTCTGGGACCAGTTGTACAGCAACCTAATAGTCTTTATGATGTTGTGTTTGTGTCTGGGACCAGTTGTACAGCAACCTAATTGTCTTTATGATGTTGTGTTTGTGTCTGGGACCAGTTGTACAGCAACCTAATTGTCTTTATGATGTGTTTGTGTCTGGGACCAGTTGTACAGCAACCTAATTGTCTTTATGATGTTGTGTTTGTGTCTGGGACCAGTTGTACAGCAACCTAATTGTCTTTATGATGTTGTGTTTGTGTCTGGGACCAGTTGTACAGCAACCTAATTGTCTTTATGATGTTGTGTTTGTGTCTGGGACCAGTTGTACAGCAACCTACTTGTCTTTATGATGTTGTGTTTGTGTCTGGGACCAGTTGTACAGCAACCTAATTAACTTTATGATGTTGTGTTTGTGTCTGGGACCAGTTGTACAGCAACCTAATTGTCTTTATGATGTTGTGTTTGTGTCTGGGACCAGTTGTACAGCAACCTAATTGTCTTTATGATGTTATGTTTGTGTCTGGGACCAGTTGTACAGCAACCTAATTGTCTTTATGATGTTGTGTTTGTGTCTGGGACCAGTTGTACAGCAACTAATTGTCTTTATGATGTTGTGTTTGTGTCTGGGACCAGTTGTACAGCAACCTAATTGTCTTTATGATGTTGTGTTTGTGTCTGGGACCAGTTGTACAGTAACCATATTGTCTTTATGATGTTGTGTGTGTGTGTGTCTGGGACCAGATGTACAACAACATTATTGTCTTTATGAAGTTGTGTTTGTGTCTGAGACCAGTTGTACAGTAACCTTATTGTCTTTATGATGTTGTGTGTGTCTGGGACCAGTTGTACAGCAAACTCATTGTATTTATGATGTGATGTGTGTCTGGGACCAGTTGTACAACAACATCATTGTCTTTATGATGGTGTGCGTGTGTCTGGGACCAGTTGTACAGCAACCTCATTATCTTTCTGATGTTGTCTATGTGTCTGGGACCAGTTGTACAGCAACCTCATTGTCTTTATGATGTTGTGCTGTGTGTCTAGGACCAGTTGTACAGCAAACTCATTGTATTTATGATGTTATGATGTGTGTCTAGGACCAGTTGTACAGCAAATTCATTGTATTTATGATGTTGTTATGTGTGTCTAGGACCAGTTGTACGGCAACCTCATTGTCTTTATGATGTTGTGTTTGTATCTGGGACCAGTTGTACAGTATAACTTTGCTCATCAATGTAAACCCTAATAGCTGTGCGTTCCGTAAAAGATAATAATCTAATAGTCTACAAATTTAAAATACTGTTGTGTTGATTGCAAACGTTTCATAAATGAATACACTAATGCACTATCAAGTCTGTGTTTTTTACATAGATAAATGAGGAAATAGTGCATTATTCTTTTCGATGCACACGACTACTGAAACCAAAGGCCCTGGACTACGGCACGGTACATGCATTCATTGCCTAAATTCTCCGCGTTGTGCTCGGTGATCACAGCTCCCTTGTTGGCTTATCAATCTGCCAGATGTTGTTGGTCTTACTGCTGCTGCCGCCGGGCCTGAATAATTAGTTATTTAGTCCAGGTAACTCTCTTCTGCCCCATGCCCACCCCTACGATTCCATTATTACAATAATTACGACCCTCGTTTTTACTGCTGATGGTTCTGTTAATGGCGTCGATATACAAGTACTACATGTTATACTATATGTGTGTGTGATTGCCGTTGGCTACACATAATTTCAATTTTTAAAAAAAATACCCGGTATGTATAATGTCCGGAATGTCTGAACAAACTGACTCATCATTTACGTGGCATTTACATGTCAGACATGTTTAGGCAGGAACATACTAAACAAAGAAGTCCCGTATCTTTTCAACACTTATTTTTTATTCAGCGACCCTTTAAGCACCATTTTGACATTAACTGCTCACCACGCTTTTAAACCGCCATACCAAATAGACGAGTTTCCGTCAAATTATCGTGCTTAACCACCTGGCTGCTCACCCCCCCACTACCGCCCCCTCCCCTGCCTTCATTCCCTTAATCCCCAATCACATCAGACTACCCCCACCCCCCGGGGCCGGTCTCCCCACTGGCTGTCATGCACGCGCCAATCTATACAAACATGCGCAGAACACAATGGCAGCCCATCGCCCCGTCCTCGCTCTGACTCCCCACGTACTCATTCGACGTTTCGTCGCTCACAGAAGAGGAGCGGTTTGTTTCAAACGAAGCCCATGCCGTCAGATGGTCGCAGGGCAACACGGCTTAAGGTTGGCGCAGTGAGGGGGGGGGGGTCTTGTGACCGGCGCAGGGAGAGGTGACGCGGCTGTTACCAGGATAGGTGATGTGGCTGGTACCAGGTGGTTTGTTTCCAACGAAGCCCATGCCGGCAGATGGGCGCAGGGCAACACGGGTTAAGGTTGGCGGAGTGAGGGGGGGGGGTCTTGTGACCGGCGCAGGGAGAGGTGACGCGGCTGTTACCAGGATAGGTGATGTGGCTGGTACCAGGATAGGTGATGTGGCTAGTACCAGGATTGGTGATGTGGCTAGTACTAGGAGAGGTGATGTGGCTGGAACCAGGATAGGTGATGTGGCTAGAACTAGGAGAGGATATGTGGCTGGAACCAGGATATGTGATGTGGCTAGTACTAGGAGAGGTGATGTGGCTGGAACCAGGATAGGTGATGTGGCTAGTACTAGGAGAGGTGATGTGGCTGGTACCATGATAGGTGATGCGGCTGGTACCAGGATAGATGATGTGACTGGTACTGGTACCAGGATAGGTGATGTGGCTGGTACCAGGATAGGTGATGTGGCTGGAACCAGGATAGGTTGATGTGACTGGTACTGGTACCAGAATAGGTAATAGGGGTTGGTACCAGGTTAAGGGTGTGGGGTTGTACCAGGCTAGGTGATGTGGCTGGTGCAATGATAGGTCATGTACTTGGTAAGATTATATTTAATAGCCATAGGATAGGTCATGTGACAGGCGCAGGGATAGGTGAAGTGGCTGCTGTCAGCTTGAGGGATGTGTGGCCATGGAGGCTGCCGCCGAGATGAGGCGTGACGCTGGTACCAGGATAGGTGATGTGGCAGTTTGAATGCCATAGGTCGTAAACCTGGTAAAGTGATAGGTCACGCTGTTGGTCATCGATAGATTATGTGGCTCTTGCCATGCCTCTGATTCTCTGATGGATCATAAGACTGTGTCACGACAGTTCGCCTGGGATGGCCACGATAGTCCTTCAGGACAAGATTGCCTTCCCCCCAAGGATTTTCCCGCCAGGACCATATAACCCCCTCCCACTGTCCTTCCATTTCAAAAACTAGAACTTCCTATTTAAATTTCAAAAGCAATTGTTAAGTAAGAAACAGAGATCTTTGTGCGTGGTTCCTTTGAAAGCGAAGGACTCAAAGGTTCTGCTTCGATTCTCAATTAAGACTAATATGAGTGCATTTTTTAAAAAAAATTATTCATCTGTTTAATATATCTTTAAAAATCCAATTAAATCAAAAACGATTTATTTTTTTTTTAAATTTTAAATTTGGTAAAATGCCTTTGGTTGGTTTCTTCTTGTCCAAGCTGGGTGGCAGAAACATTCCCCTGTAGTATAATTTACCTTCACTGAATTGTCAGTAAATGGTGGACTTCTATTATTGACAAAACGGCTGATGAGAGATGGACCGAAAGGAATGGCCCAAATTCATTTTTTTTTTCCATGAACTTTATAAGCAGTTAGTCAATGCTATTTTAATGCTATGGCTTTACCCAGCTTATGACTCGGTCAGATTAAGTCTTCTTACGTATAATGTTAAGACTATAATGCCTGTAGACTGAAATGGTTCTAAAAATAATGTCGTTAATGGGGAAAATGACCCTGTCAACCACTGCACCTCACTGAGCAGCCAAACGTATGCATTATGAGTTTACAGGTATTTGGTTCTGTCAGATGTCCCGGAGCTTCTAAAGCACCCCGGTACTACAGTATACCATACGTATTGCGC